GWWAAYAAAATTTSAGSAACCAWWCTSGSATMATMATTTTATTTTTTTAGACTAGTGTTGCGTAAGTGAGTTTTATTTCTTAAACATGCATATAAAGCTTTTTAGTTAGATGATTGCGGCAATACATTATTATTTAACTCTATGCAATTTAAAAAAGTGATAGATGCTTTAGATTTTTTGGGTTGATAGGTCAATAGATAGTGGCAGAAAAAAATTACTGTTTTTCTTCGGCTAACGTTTCGGCTATTTAAGCCATAATAATGGCCAGAGCATGCTAACAAAGGCAGGTGTAATATTGCACTAAATGAAGAGCGTTGGCCCAAGAAAAATTGTATTTTTTTTCTCAAAAAACAGAAATCAACATTAATCACATGGCACAAAAATCTTGGCTTACAAAACAAACAGATGTTAAACGTTAGTTCAGTTGCGTTTGTAGGTGTTCTAGTAACGTATCTGTTGGGGAACGAAAATGGGAGTGTTTTGTCTATCTTGTGAGGCAAAGGGGATTCAGTATGGTTCAGTTGTGGGGGTTGTTTGTCTATTTCGTCTGTCTCATGTTTGTGCGTTCGTATAGTAGTATAGTAGTAGGTTGGAAGGGTTGTGCAGTGGGTTTTGGGGGTGTCTTATTCGTGTTATTAGTCTTAGTGCAATTTATTCTGTTGCTTGTACGTATCGTTTTGTCCTTTCTGTTCCGTAGTCCAAGAGGGGTCTGCAGATCGCTTTGTATATTTTTGTCGCGGTATTTGTACTAATTCCTTTGTCTTTGTATGTTAGTGATCGAAAGCGCTTTGTTCTTTTTATCGTTTCTGTTCTGATGTTTCGTGTGTGTTTAGTGAATTGGAGTTTATGGTCGATTGTGATCCCAAGGCCAAACGACGATAGGTACTATCGTCGTTTTTCGGTTGTGTCGTTTGGCCGTCTGCAGTTATTGTAGGGGAGTCAGCGTTGAGTCTGTGGTTCGTGAGCAGAAGTTGTTTTTTGTCGCGTTTGGCGTTAGTCTCCATTTATAAAACCATGTCATTGTGTTGTTTGTTAGTATTTGAAGTCTTTCAGTCGCTTTTTCAGTAGTTTTGTCATGTACAATAAGTGCCGTGTCGTCAGCGTATTGTAATATGTATGCCATTCTGTCGATTTGATTTTTGTCTGGTAAGTTGTATGAAGAGAGATGTTGAGAAATGAATATGGCATGGCAGTATATACTGTTGAGAAAGGGTGAGAGCGGGGATCCTTGAGGGAGCCCTTGTTCAGGGGAAAAAGAAAATAAGTGTGTGTTGCCAATTCGCACTTGTAGTTGTCTGTTTTCTAATAAGTTCCTTATGGTGTGGAGTCGGGCGCATCCAGCTTTAAGGTCAGGGGGGGGGGGGTTATGTAGAAAAAATACAGTCTTCTGTTACCTATAAAATTAGAAAAATTATCGTCGTTTTGTGCAAGGGTGGCGCAAGATTATTGCAAAATTTCATGTTTTCCGGCCCGCTTTTGCTCATATCTCGGAGGCAAAATGAGCAAGAATGCTCATGTGTACATCATTGTAAAAAGAAATAAATGGCCTTTTTAGAAAGTGAGCCATGGATGGGGAAATATTGGCAGTTTTCTCAAAAAATGTTTGAATTCAAGAAGTTTTAGATATGCGTGGTTTTTTTTGAGTTGCGAAATCCACTTGAACATGACGCTGCTTTTTTCGAAGTTTCTCAAGAACCATTCGAGCCACATAATTCGTTTTGGCATCGTTGGATAGACAATTGAAT